TGCCTTCTTTCTATTCATTGTTTCTTCAGAGCTTTTATTGTGAAAGTAGGTTGAATCTTGATGAGACGGTTTCTGAATTTATTGAGATGACCATGTGATTTCTGCCATTTTGTTTATGTGCTGAATTATATTTATTGATTTATGTATGTTAAACTATCCTTGCATCTCTGGAATGAAACCAACTTGATCATAATGTATGATATTTTAGTATGTTGTAGAATTTGGTTTGCAAGTATTTTAGTGAGACTTTTTGCCTCTATGTTCATCAAATAAGTTAATCTATATTTTCTTTTTTTTATTTAATTACCCAGTTTGGTATGAGGGTAATACTGGCTTCATAGAATGAATTAAGCAGTGTTCTTTTCCTTTCTATTTGTGAAATAATCTGAGGAGGATTAGTAGTAGTTTCTCAAAGGTCTAGTGGAATTTGGCAGTGAGTCCATCTGGTCCTGGGCTCTTTCTATTTGGAAGAGTCTTTATTACTTCTTTAATTTCCTTATTACATATATGTTTATATCATCTTGATTCAATTTTGACAGTTCAAATGCTCCTAGAAGTGTATCCATTTCTAATAGATTTTCCAATTTATTGGAATATAAATTATTGAAGTATTACCTAATAATCCTGTGGATTTTGTTGATCATTGGTGTGGTATCCCCTTTTTCATCTTTAATTTTATTGATTTGAGTCTTTTCCCTTCCTATGATTTGGGGTTGGGCTTGTTCTTAGTTTTCTGAGTTTGAGATGCATCATTGGGTTATTTATTTGAGATCTTTTTCTTTTTTTGAGGTAGGTGCTTATAGCTATAAAGTTAATCTTAGCCCTGCCTCTGCTGTATCTTAAAGGTTCTGGTAAGTTGTGTTTTCATTTTTATTATTTTATAGAAACATTTTGATTCTGTCCACCTCCCCCCTATTTCTTCATTCACCCTCTGGCTATACAGCAGTGTATTGTCCAATATCCACATGCTTGAACATTGTCCGTAGTTTCTTTTGGTGTTGATTTCTAGTTTTGTTCCATTGTGGTCTGATAGAATATAGGGAGTTATTTCAGTTTTCTAATATTTGTTAAGACTTACCTTATGTGCTAAAATATGATGTTTTGGGAAAAGTTCTATGGGCTCCTGAGAAACGTGTATTTTGCAGCTGCTAGATGAAATATTATTCTGTAGATGTCTGTCAAGTCCTTGTGGTCTATAGTGTTAATTCTGAATTTTCTTTGTTGATTTTTTTTTTTTTTTTGATCTTGATGACCTATTGGCAGAAATGGAGTATTGAAAGCTCTTAGCATTATTGTGTTGGGGCCTATCAGTGCTTATAATTCCAGTAGTATTTGTTTAATGAAATTGGTGTGCCACCATTTCCTGATTTTTTTTTGTGTGTGTGGGGGGGAGTGTTGTTTCATCAGAGAGTTGCTTTGCCCAGGGACCCGCAAGTTTTAGGAGGAGTAGTAGGTCTGGTGAAAGGTGAAAGGTGATGGGTTCCAGACACCCTGGAAGAGGAGACTCTTGGGTCTCACCAGTGACTTGCCCTGGCAAGAGATGTGCATTTGTTCCTGTTAAAAGGAAAGAAAATAGCAGGCAGCTAGGTAAAGGAGCATAGCACCCGTGGTGGTGGTATATTTTAAATAGCTATATTTTGTTATTAATTACTCATATTGGAGGACTTACCAATTAACACTGACTGGGATGCTTCTTAAATTTTATACTGGGTCACAACATAAGCATATTGAGTGCAACAAATTCTTTTTATTATATTAACATAATTTAAAATCACTTTGATTATGTTTGTAAAGGCAGTTTTGTGAATAGTAACTTTATTCAAGGCAGGGATTGAATGTGAGAGCAGTATGAGTAATCGTAAATCATTCATATTAGTTTTAGAGTCTCTTTATGGGCATCCTTTTAAATATAGAGATGATTGAAAATTCACTTCCAACAAAATATTGACGGCCCACTGGGAAGAACTAACACAAGAGGGTCTGATGAAGGCAGGCTCTTCACACATCTCAATACCAGCCAAGTGAAACTCAGATTACTCCTCACATGTTGGATTTCAAGCTTCCTGGCAGCATGTGAAATAAGAATAAATACAGAATAGGATGTCAACAAGGCAAACAGTTAAGCAAATGCTATAGGTATTTTCATGAAACATGAAAGCAAGTTTTGAAATGCCTACAGGTAATCTGTCTGTTGCTGATAGTGGAGAGTAAACTCTTCACATTTAGAGTAGCAACTTGGTTAGAAACCACCAATTTCTACTTAACGGCTTCCTCACCTTAGCCATAATAGCCATGTTCAGTCTGGGAAGTGTCTTTATTTTTCATGTGCAGGCTTGTTAGTTATTCCATGGCTTTTATTGGACAGAAAAGAAATGCATAAAAACAGCCTGACAGGAGTCTGCCAGTTTACATGGGAAGATTTGTATTTTGACCTTCAATTTATTTTTAAACTCATATATAGCAATATAAATATTGCACATATAATGGGGTATACTTTGTGAGTTTTGATATATATATACATTCCATGATGATTAAATCAGGTCAAGCATATCTATCTCCTCAAACATTTATCATTTTATGGCACAAATATTCAAAATCCTTTCTTCTGGCTTTTTGAGATGTACATTACATAACTGGTATCAGTTATGTAATGTCACTCTGTTGTACAATCGCACGCCAGAACTTCTTGCTCTTATGTAATGTGGCCTAATACCCATTGATCAACTTTTCTCTGTCCCTCCCTTCACCCTACTCTTCACAACCACTCATAATCACTTTTATCTTTTCAACTTTGACGAGATCAACTTTTCTAAATTATGCATATAATGTGTTCATGTGGTAATTGCTTTGCTCTGTGTGGATCTCCAGTTCGATTCCTGCTATCCCAAATGCCAGGATTTCCTGCTTTTTTTAAAATGTGAAGTTGTATTCCATTGTGTGTATATGCCACATTTTCTTCCCATTCATCAGTTCTGGACACACAGGTTGTTTCCATAGCTTGGTCATTTTGAATAGTGTTCCAACTAACATGGAACTGCATACCTTCTTTTTGACATACTGATTTAACTTTCTTTGAATAAATAACTGGTAGTGGAATTGCTGGATCATATAGTTCTATTTTTAAGTGTTTTAGGAGCCTACATTCTGTCTTCCATGAGGGCCATATTTATTTACATTCCCACTGACAGTGTGCAAGAGTTTTCCTTTTCTACATTCTTGCCGGAACATATTTTTTATCTTTTTGATAATAGCTATTCTTACTGGCACAAGAATTTTGGTTTTGACTTACATTTCCCTTACTGTTAGTGATATATATTTTTTTCAGATACCTGTTGGGCAGTCATATGTTTTCTTTTGAGAAATGTCTATTTAGGTCTATTGGTCATTTGTTTTTGCTATTGAGTTTTGGGTGTTCTTTATTCTGGTTATTAGCCACTTTTCAAATGTATACGTTCCAAATATTTTCCTCTAGTCTTTAGATTGTCTTTTTACTCTGGTGATTGTTTAATTTGCTGTGCAGTAACCTTTTAGTTTAGCTGTAATCCCATTTGTTTATTTTTACTTTTGTATCCTGTACCTTTTGGTTCTTCTCCAAAAAAATCTTTGCCCATTCCAGTGTCTTAAAGACATGTTGTCTTCTAGTAGTTTAATAGTTTTGATTTTACATTTAAGTTTTTAATCATTTGGAGCCAATGATTTCAACTCATGGGAGTAAGGGTCTAGTTTCATTCTACACATGGCTAGAATGATGCCAGGTTTTCTAGCATCATTATTGAAATAACTGTTTTTTGCTCCAGTGCTTTTTCTTAGCACCTTTGTGTGAAATCAGTTGGTTGTAGATGTGTATGTTTATTTCTAGGTTTTTTTTTTTGTGTGTCCCATGGAACTGTGTGTCTGCCTCTGTGCCAATGTCATGCTGTTCTGATTACTACAGGTTTTACTTTTGTTTTCATTGGAAATGTTACATTGTAAGTTTGAAAGTGGTAGTATTTTCTGACATGTGACTTAAACTTGTTTTTATTCTTCATGATGCCTCATTTTTGATTATTTCTTGAAAGTTTTTGGCATCTTACTGTTGAAACACCACACACATACCTATCTATATAAATCGGATATGTAATCATGTATAAAAAGAAATATATACATTGAAATATATAGAAATCTTATTGTGTCTCTTTCTTGCTCTCATTTTTGAGATGTTACTGCCATTATATTGTCTATGTTTCCAAATCACCACTGACATAAGTATTCATTTCTACCAAGATAGTTTTTCTATAATCAAAGGATTATGATGTCCTGATTCCCTAAACACTACAATTACATCACTGGATTTATGAAATAGGTGTAATTCAGTCTGGGCGAAGTATTTATTTAAAAATGTTTTTTTTCAATGCCAGTGAATTTTGAAGCTTAGGAAACTTGTAACATTTTATAAAGATGCATTTTCATAGTTTTGGAAATTTCTCCAAAAGCATCTGTTGTCATTATGTTGATTAATTTTTGTGAGTAATCTTTTTCTGTTCATCAGCCTAAATCTTCCCACTATAGTCTTCACTCCTTTGCTCACTTCCTGCACTTTGGATTAGTTGAAACTGAAGACTTATTTAGATGTGTGATTATAAATGTCTTATAAGTCAGATCTAGGTAGGTGAGTGGGTGAAACTGTTTGGACAATTTTGCCAATTTTTAAAAAATATAAATACTTACTTGTGCTGCCATGAATGTCAGTGAACATGGAAAATGGAAGTGATGGGTACCGTTAGCTCTTATAAGCCAGAATAAGCTGAGTGTAGCACACCACTGGTTCATTCCATCTTTGCTCCCTTTTCCACTACTAAGATTATGAATCATGGAAGTCATTATATTCGGTGTTATTCTTATATCATGGTTAAGATCACAAGTATAAAATACTTATGTTTATATAGCATTTTCATGACAATTCTACTGCTACAATACTGACTTAATGTATAACTGGTTACCTTTTGGTCTGTTTTTCAGTTGGGTGGAAAGTTTTGGACATGAGGGACTTGGATTATTACTAGACATTTTGGAAAAACTGATTAGTGGGAAGATGTAAGTATTAATTATTTTCAGTTTACATTTGGATGTCCAGTTATAATTCCTATAATGATATCTTTTATTCTTTATATAGCCAAGAAAAAATTATAAAGAAGAATCAACACAAGGTCATACAATGTTTAAAGGCTTTGATGAATACACAGGTATGTACATAGGTAGCACTTGTCCACACATTTTTATGTGAATTAGTAGTGTGTGGTTTTTTTTTTTCATGGTACTGAGGCTTGAGCTCAGAACCTCGTACTTACTGGGCAGGTGCTCCACTTGAGCCACACCCCAGCCCTATAATACAAGATTTTACTTGCGTTAAAGAGATGTATTGCTCTGATGTAGTTTTCATTACATAATTTAAAAAAATGTTGGATTGGGTTCTAGTTTTGTATGGAACCAACTATTTGCAGTATGAGAAACTTGGAATTGATTGGACCCTCTTCCGTGTTTAAATCCTTATGTTTCTTTCTCCCTCTTGCATCTTTTTGATTACTTCCTCATCTTTCCTCCCTTTCTTTTAATTTTCAAAAGTACAGGATGCATCAGCTTTCAAATAATGCATAATTATTAAATTTATTCAGCAAAAGGCTATATTACTAGAAATTCAAACTGGTAAGGCTAAATTCTTATGTTGTAAGAATTTAAAATCTATAAACAAATTGAAATAGATATTAACGGATTCCAGACATGGAGCAATGTTTCATACAAGTATTAATGATAGCAAGAATAATATGGAAAATCTGTAGGACTTACATATTTAAAGATATATCTAAAGGGGGAGTCCTTTGAGGTCTTTACTGAAGTTGGATTTATCTTGTAATATTTTCCCCCTCTTACACTGTTCATTGCTGAAATTAGCATAATTTGCTGTTTTCTTTGGCTTTAAACATCTAAGCTTACCTACTTCATGGTATGTGATATGCTGAAATGTATTCTAGTTGCTGAACATTAGGACAGAAATGTTGCTTATAGTGTTATGATGATTATTGTGTAGAAAAAGTACTTTTTGATTAGTTTTAATACTTAATTTTTGTGTTGTTCTTTTAAAACAGACTTTTAGAGGACAAAATACTTAAGTGCTACTAAAACTGCTGGGATTAATTTTTTATATTTATTATATCACATTTATAGTTTTTAATTATCTTATTGAAAGATTTATATATTCGAAAGCATTTTTCCAGAGCTAAGTTTTCTATTTTTAACCAATGAAATATTTTTCCCTCCCAAGCAGATATGATTTTCAAGGGAAATATCTGATGTATAAATCACAAGATTTTACGTTAAAATTTTTGTATAAACTCCTGACAGTGTTCTTTTCCCACTGTGTACATATAGCTGCTTTAGAATGCTCTTTCTAAAGTGAGACTCTACAATGGGAAGTGATCACTGGTGTTGATAAGGCTTGGAGCAGAGGAAACCCAGGAGCATTTATTTCAAGCTGAAGGGTCAGGTGGATCACAATGTGAATTTGAGAGGAATATCCTAGTTAAAGTGAACTAGTATTTAGAATTCGAGGAGGTGTAAACTATGTATGTATATTCTTATACAATGGATTTTATAATAGATTTTATTACTTATGTACATGTGAAGCTGTGAAGTATTGCCTTTGGATTTGATATTGTCACCATGTTAATAAGAATAAAAAGTTAATATTTAGGACTAGTATTTTAACGTCTGAACTCTAAACTTAATATGCGAAATTTTTGGTCAAGTGACTTTCTTCCCCCTTAAGACTGTTTTATAGTGTTTTTAACTTTTTTTGATCTTACCTGTTAAGTATAAAATTTGTTAAAAACATCATTGTTTAGTCTTGTTAGAGTTCCTTGAATGATCTAAATATAGCCTTTATGAGAAAAAATGTGCTACCTTATTTGGCACCAATAATTAATTTTTATCCTTAATATGAATAAACTTGATTGTATATGAAAGTGAATTTTTTATAACATTGGACTAAGACATTTTTTAAATGGAAGAAAATTTTGAATACTTATAAAGAAAAAAACAAAGGATAGTAAATATGAATGGTTAACATATTTAAGTTTCAAGGTAGTTGAAACAGAAGCTTCCTTTTGATGGGTTAAGGTTCTCTGTATTGCTTTGAAGTGGTGCCCACAGCAAGATGGCTTGCTCTTGAATTCAGTCCCTTTATACTCACAATCTCTCTGTTGTGGCATTAGCTCACTGTAGGTAGTTCCCTGTACCAGTAGTTAAGTAGTGTGGTCCCAGATGTTGGGCATCCTACACAGATTTAGGGGATTAACCTGCCCCTACCAAAATGTTATCTTTCAGGTCCTGAAATTCTATCTGTTAGGTAATAATAGGCCTCATGTAGAATGCAAATGGAACCTGGAATTGGTCCTAAGTTTAGAACAGGCCAGTAATCACATTCAGGAAATGTCAGGTCCTTGACATTCAGGAAAGCTACATCCTTAGATCTTCCAAAATTTGTCTCACCTCTCTAACTTATAATAGCCTTCATTAAAAGTACTTTAATGCTGGGACTGGTAAGTTGACTATTTCTCACATAGAGTCAACCATTTTTTGTTTGCTTGGTTGTGAGTAATTTTATACAAGTAGATAGCAAGTCTATGTTTTAGTCATAGATACTGAGAAGTGGTAATCTGGCCTTCATTACAGTCTTAAAATGATCATTACACATTTTTACATTAGGAAAATCAGAGGATGCTGTTTGTGATGGACTATTGGGTGGTAGAGGTCTCAGGATGATGGTCAAACCCACAAAATCAGAGAATGCTCTTATTCCAGGCTTCACACACAATAGATAGAAAAGGTAGTGCCACCTGGAGAGAATCACCATGAGTCAACTCCAGTGGCAGTAGCTGCCACATGGTTCTGAATCAAGAGGGCATGCACTAGCTAAGAACAGCCTCGTGGATGGGAAGTAAAGGGAAAATCCTAAGGTTTATTAGAACAGAGTCAGCTCTTTGATTCTTGGTAACCATTGACTGACTTTCTGAGTCAGGTCTAAATGTTACTTTAGAAGATGGTGACAATTCTCTGGAGTAATTATGGAGGGATATTGTGGTTTCTGGCCCTGTGCTAGCTTTTTCATTCTCTATTTTCAGTTATGAAACAGCCCAGAAGATCACAAAAGCGAGCATGTCCTGACTGGTTTAGCAGGCTCTTGTAAATTTTCTCCTATCACCAACAAGAAAGAGAAGTCTTTCTAAAATTCCTCTTGTGAGATTCTTGGCCCACCTGCTTGTATTTCTGTAATTGTTCCTGTGTTCCTTAAATAATTGTTTAAAGCAAATGCAATATTTCAGCCAAATTTGAATATTTCTTTATACAAATACCACTTATGCAAAAATAGAAGTATAAAAATACCTCTAGCAGATTTGACATTGCTAGATATTTGATATTGATTCTTATATATAGTGCTAATTTTGAGTTCCAGTTGATAGGTTTATAACTGGGATTAAGGCCTATTTTTATTTCTTAGAACTAACTCTAGTCAACCAATTTTGCACTCTTTAGAAGGATACATTCAGTTACACAATAGGTAAATAGTATTGTTTTGATTTTGCTTCTACTCATCCTATGTAGTTTGATTTTTTTTATTGATTATAATTTGGCCGAAGATATAAGTACTTCCTTAAAAGAGTATGGCCTTAGCATAACTCCTATCTTTTAATTGGATGTGGCATCCTGGCAATAGTAAATGATTTTTAATGTATGTATTATGTATTTACATCTGTATAGTTTTCCTGATGTTGACATTCTAATTTGAATACGTATGTTCATTATGGCAATTTCCATATGCTATCTTCCAAAATTGTTTTTTACCTATGCCTGTTTGTGAATTAAGTGTTAATATCTAGTCCTGCAGTATTTCCATACTAAATTATCACATTTAGTATAGTAAGCAAATGTGGCTTTTGAGCACTTGAAATGTTTCTAGTCTGAATTGAGATGTGCCATCAGTTTAAAACGCAGCTGAATTTCAAACACTTAGGAAAGAAAAAGTGAAACATCTCACCAGTAAAATCTTTTACATTGTTTGTATGCTGAAGTAATAGTATTTTGATACATTGGGTTAATTTAATTGAAAATCATTATATTGCATAAAAATGACACATTTATACATATTATGTAGTTTATATTGTATTTGTAATGAGCAGTGCTGATCTGTGTGTTTATTTGTGGTTTTAGCTCTCTTACCAACCTTCTTTTCCAGGAAAAAAGATCCACATGGTCTAAGTACCTGTTTCAATATTTGGATGTTTGTTTTATATGTTCCTGTTGGAAAATCCCCTATTTCTTATGGGTTCTCACAGTTCTTGACATAAAGTGAATACTTTTGAATTTTTTAGGTGTTATAAGGTCTTTATACTTTCATACTTTACTTGATGTAAACATGTGTTATACAATTTTTTAAATGTCTGCATTTCTTTTAGGGTACCATTTTTTTAAACTGATTCCTAATATTTAACTTCTTATTTCCAAAATATAACAGTATGGCTTAGAAAGGATTATGAGTGATGAGAGGAGTCTTTCCTTGTTGGCCAGAGCCATGGATCCCAAGCACCCTGGTATGATGACAGATGTGGTCAAACTCCTCTCTGCAGTTTGCATTGTAGGGGAGGAAAGCATGTAAGTGTTCTGTTCAATTATTTAAAAAATGCTTAACTCTTAATATTGCCTATTCTGCGTTAGAATTTAAATGTACGTTTAATTTAGTTTCCTATTGGCTAAATAGAAATGTCTGAGTAACAACTGTTTCTTTTAGTTGTTTCTCTGTTATGGGCCAAGCATGTTTCCCCGAAAAACAGGTTTCTTTATCATATTCACTTTAAACTGTTTTATGCCCTTTTTTCCTCCCTTTTTTTGTAGACTGAGGTTAGAACTCAAGCCTTGTGTTTGCTATGTAAGCATTCTACCACTTTTTCCATGCCTCCAGCTCTTTTTGCTGTAGGTTGTTTTTCAGATAGGATCTCAAGCTTTTTGCCTGGACCAGACTTGGGTATGAGCCTCCTATCTATGCCTCCAGTGTACGTGCCACCATGTTCATCTTGATAGAGGATCTTGCTTTTTGTAATCCTCCCTCTCTCTGTCTCTTGAGTAGCTGAGATTTCAGGCCTGAGCCACTGTTTCAGCTGTGTATTTCAGGAGAGTAAAAAAAAAGGAATTTGAATATTTTCACTAAAACAAAGACAAATATTTGAAGAGATAGATATACCTACCCTGATTTCAATGCTAAACAGTCTATACAAAGTATTGAAACATGACATGGCACTTACAAATATGTACTTTTAATGTATCAATTAAAAAATAAAAGGAAATCAAGTAGTTAATAATTGTAAAGTGGTTTGAATGGACTTGCCATGTAGGAATTTTTTTGACTAAATATTGGATAAAAAATCTTCATAGAGTATTATTAGGGATAAATGAATTAAAATATGCTTAGAACAGCCCTTTATCCTAGACCCAGAAAAACTAGAATCACATTTTTCCTCATATGTGGAAACAAGGAAAAGAAAACAAAGACAACTTGAACATAGAGAAAGGACTATTCTGGAAGAGGAGGGGACTGGGAGAAGTGTGAGGTAAGAGATGGTGGTAGCGAAGATGGATGCCATCAAAGCACTACCTGAGCCATGGAAATGCCACTGTGAAGTCCATTAATTCGTACAATCCACATGGATTAAGAATTACAGGGAAAAAACAGTGCCTGATATCTGGTACATAGTCAGCAAGCTACTTTTAAGCGTAAGCAACTGTATTATAGCATTTGTGTTATTTGATTCTTGCAATTAAATTAATTGACTCAAAACTTCTAATAGCCTTGAAGAAGTTTTAGAAGCTTTAACTTCAGCTGGAGAAGAAAGAAAAATTGGCAGATTTTCTTCTATTGTTGAAGGCCTGCAGCACAATTCAGTTCAACTGCAAGTAGGTTTTACGTGTATAAGACATATTTTTACATGACATTTCATAATACTGCTTTATTAACTGTTTGTGGATTATATGTAAGCTCTACATTATGAAGCTCTGCATGCCATTTAATATTCTTTTATGGCGTTATTTTTAGTGAATATATAGAATTCCAGTATTTACTATGTTATAATTTGTCTTACTGATATGTATTGACAATTCCTGTGAGTTCATTGCTTATATCAGTTTTCTAGCAGTGAAATTGCTACATTTCTCTGTAAAACATATCATCATAGTCCAATAGATTGTTTATGCATTAATGCAAATAATTTTAAAGCAGCTTTGCCAATTAAGTGAATTATAAATTTCATTGTTTGAGAAGCCATAACTGAAAAGTTGAGATTTTTACATGAGCAACAATGAAATTCAAGGTTATAGATATTGTCACAAATTTTTTTTTCCAAAATGTCACATTAGGCTCAACTATTGGATACTAAAAAGACTTTACCTTAGATGCTAAAACTATCTAAACTGAGTAACTAATGTTCATTTAATTCTCCTTAAAAGAAGTTTTTCTTGGCATGATTATGGTAATGATCAAACCTGAGCATCTTTAAAAGAAATCTTGATACCTAGTTTTCACTTCCAGACTTTTAAAATGCACTTGACCAGATCATGACCTGGGAGCATTCAAAGGATCCCTAGGTGACACTCATGAGCATGCAGGAGTAAACCTGTTTTAAGTTGTATGTAAAAAGTGTTTATATGTTAAAAGTTGTAGTTTTAATTTTTTAAGGTGGTCTCTATAGTTTGGCCATTTTATTGTTACTATGTATTATAGCAATAGAAGCATAATTTTTAAAATTTAGAAGTATTAAATTAAAACTAAGCACTAAAATAATCAGATGGTATTTGAAGAAAAACTTGTTATAACTTGTCAGAGGACAGTGTTGTGAATGGCTAGTGACCAACCCTGTTGATCCACTTACTTCTCTTGGCAATTGGGGTCATGGAAGATCTGAGTATATAGTCCATATGCGTGGACCCAGCTGCTAGAGGCTCTGGACTGAGAGTTCTCTGCTCACTCTGCGGATGGTGATTCCTGTGGGCACCATCATCACCTGCACATGCTTATCTTTCTACTTTTGTCTCTCCTCTCCTTCCTTCTGCTCCCAACTCCTCTTTCTCCCCTTGTCTTCCCTGTCTCTTCACTGTTTTATTATTTCTTTGTGTTTTGCCTTGTCTAGTTTGTCTTTTGTCATCTGATCCTTTTGCCTGTTTATTTTTCATCTGATCCTAGGTTCCTATTCACCACAAGATTAAGCCATTAAGGCTCAGAGAAATTTTAAATGGCATTCTATTTAAAATTTATAAGTTTTGAATTGACTTATTTTTAAACAATTTTATTTATATCAAATTCATGTATCATATACCCATTTAATGGTTTTTTTTGGGGGGGAGGGGTTATATTCAGATGTACAACCTTAACCACAATTGATATTAGAGCATTTTTAGTGTCCCCAAAGGAAAGCCTTAAGCTGTAACATAGTTCATCAATTTCTTAGACCCAGGGCAGTATTTATATCATTTCTGTATCTGTAGATTTCCATATTCCAGACATTTCACGTGCATGCAATCTTAGAATATGTGCTTCTTTGTGACTGACTTTTTTCATTTAGCATATTTTAAAGACTCATCCATGTTGGAATATATATCAGTACTTCTTTTTTATTGTCAAATAATTCATTTTATGGATATACCATATTGAGTTTATTAGTTGAACATTTGAATGGTTTCCAGTTTTTGACATTTAGGAATAAGGCTGCTATGAACAGTTGTGGAGTTGATTTATGATTTTTTAATGTATTTTTATTAGCCTATAATAGTTGTATAGAGGAATACTTATATGTTTACAATAGTCCTCCCTTCTTCCCCCTTTCTTAGAACAATTTCAATAGGATTCATTCTTCTATTTTCATATATAAATACAAATACTTCCACTATATTCTCCCTCATTCTCCCTTTCTGTATGTCTATCCCCCTCCTACTGGTACCTATCCCTGGAAAAGACCTGTTTTACTGCCCTGTTCTTCATTTTAGATGATTTTTTTAAAAAAAAAACCTTATTTGGTGGTAAGTAAATAGAAGTGCAGTGGAGGAGGAATAGTTACAATATTGTCCTTTGATAGATGTAGAAACCGTGTATTTGATTTAATTCTTAAGAAACTTTTGCCAAGGGACAGATGTTCTGATTAAATCTGAAACTAATTGGCTTTATGAAACTGCCTACTTGTAAGTAATTATATTTTCTGTTATATTTAGTAGTATTGGTGATTTTTGATGCCTGAAAATACTGAAATAAATTTCTTGACATAGTTCCTAAAGCTTAATTTCCATCAAGAAGTGATGTCATGTTAGTATCATTTAAATTCATTTCTTTCTAATTTTTTCTGATACATTCAGGTGAAGCTTCCATGCTATTGATTAAGAGTAGAAAATGGGAAGAATTGTTCTCAATTCTCATTTTTTCTGTTAAATCATTTTGTTATGGATTTTTAACACTTTAATTAAGGTTTCTCATTGTTAAGCCTAGTGTATGAAATAGCTTGCAGATGCAAAGCTTAAGAGTTAAAGGTACTATTCTGGTTGCAGATATAGCTCAACAGTAGAGGACTTCCCTAGCATACCTGAGGCCCTGTGTTTGGTCCCCAACACTGTTTAAAAAAAAAAAAAAAAACAGAAAGAAAAAGAAAGAAGAAAAAAATGACTATGTTTCATAAAGATAACATAGCATCCCCCCTCAAAAAAAAAAAAGGTAGATTCTATTTTTTGGGGATTGAAATTGTCAACACTTAAAAAATGCTTTCGTTTCTAGGATTTTTCTGAATTTTCCACAAATAAAGTATATTGTAGAATTAGCTAGTATCTATTTTCCCATAAAGCTATACCTCTAAGTGCCCATTTTATTCTATTAGCTATATAATTTGCATTTATTAAAATGCACTTGTGTGGGTGATGTTAGCAATCATCAAATTAAAAATGAAACTTATTTGTTGCAGAATAATACAGAAACCATTTATTTGCTTTTAAATTGGAGAAAATGGGAGATAGTAAAATAAAGAACAATGAGGATGTTTTGTTGCTAAATAGATGTATAACAAAGTACCTTTAAAAGGAAAATTGTTAATAAAGATAATTTGACTGCCTATGATTGTGATAGAATTGAGCTTATTTCCTGAATTTGATAAAGGGAGCAAGTGAAGACAATATAGCTGAAATAAGGGCTTAGTCTTATTTTCAGAAAAGTGTAAATGTAAACATCAGACTTAACATAAGTGCACTCCCCTGTGAACAACATAAGACATTCTAGGTCGTTTAAGTGGACAGTGATATCAAGTACCTTATAGAATTTCTGGTAGGCCCAGGGAATTATATGTAGGTCACATAAATTTTCAAGTACTGCAGAGGAACAAATATCAGACCACATCCCAACAATGTTCTAATGGAAACACCATTTCAAGCACTGTTCTGCCCAGTTTTGAAGATGATGTGGACAGACTGGCCTTCTGGGACCTTCTGCCACAGCTGTGCTGGGAGAACCAAACCGCCTGAACCAGAGTTCAGTCTTCGAGTTTGTGGTTGTCCTGAAATGTTGACCATATCTTCCGTAGCAAAAGGCAGAAACAAGTGTAGACTAACCAATCTCCGGTATCTGCCACACTTTAATTTTCTGTTATTTTGATTTCTCTCGTTTTTTTCCTCTTCTCTTTCTTTCTGTATTGGTCTTCTTTCTTCCCTTGTCACAGCCTTTCTTTGCTTGGGTTTCAAAAGCATTATCTAGATTGCAATGTTTGCTGAGATCCTTGCTGTTGGTCATAGAGCTCATGGAATTATAGTATATTTTTGTTAGGAATGGAATCAAAGTGTGGGAATCCAAAAGTTTTTTGGGTGGATACTTGGCTTTTCTTCTGTGTATGTCTTTGAGCCTGTATAGCATACTGCACTTTCTTTTTCCTGTATGATTCCTTTTACTGTATTTTACTTGTTTCTGTGAGTGTCAAGAACTTGAAGGATCTGAGGTTTGTCACTATTTGTAAATTGACATTAGTCTGCCACAGTTTTTTTTTTTCTGGTGCTGGTGTTTGAACTCAGGGCCTCATACTTGCTAGGTAAGCACTCTGCCACTTAAGCCATTCCTCCATCCTTGTTTTGTGTTCTTTTTTTTTTTTTTTTTTTTTCTTTTCCAAGATAGGGTCTTGCCAAATATTTGCCTGGGCTGGCTTTGAACCGCAGTCCTCCTGATCTCTGCCTTCTGAGTAGCTAGAATTACAGGCATGAACCATAGGCTCCAGCCTCTCCTATAACTTTTTGGTTGAACTTTCCACTTGGCTGGAGATGTTAATTCATACGTAGAATGGTAGGAATTGCATAGACTTTCCGTTTTTATGTGAGGAGGAAGTCTATGCTAGTGAGTTGAACCTGATCTGAGTGCTGTTTAGGGCTAATATTGTATCATTGATCACTTCAGCTAAAATCAAGGACAAGTTTCATACCACCATTCCTGATTGCATGACTCTATTGAAGGGATAATGGTCTGTAGAGTATAAGTAGCCTGTTACTTTTCCTTCTAAGAAACTTCCAAGCATTACTAAAGGAAGCCTGTGTTTGGAATTGATTTTCAGAGATGCCTAAGGGCTGCATGATACACTGCTAGTGTTTCTCTAAACATTTGAACATCTCTTATGAACACTTGTAAGGAGCAAGTCACCATGTTTTGAAGACCGAGGCAAATTAATGCCTGTCTCTCACATAAGATGTGTGGTCTTGAAGGTATATATGATACTTTGGAAGGAATGTGTCTATTGTTGGAGTCCCCTAATTGGGACCTTCCTGAAACGGCTATAGGGAGATAGGACTTTCAACCACGGCCTTCTGACTGGCTAATCAACTTCATGATTCTTGGTTCAGAAAAAAGAGTCAAATCTTTCTTTTTTGAATTAGTCCAACCTGTCCTTTTG